GAATTCAGAAAGCTTTAGAGAGAGTTTTATTCAGAGCTTTTGGGGAGACAGATCATGTACTCTATTTGGAGAAGATTTCGAACCCTTTTATCTTTTATTTTATTCTTTCAATGCAATTTTATTCAGCTATGCTTTGTGTTTCCATGATCATGTCTGAGTAATTTGCTAGTTAAGTTAGGGCTTTTCAAAGGCTGATGACAAGTTTGTAGAGTCGCTAAACTGTTAGGAATATATGTGAGAACATTATTGATAATCTGAACTAGTATTAGACAAGCAAAACGCCTTAGTGCAAAGATATTTGACTTAAGAGTTTTGTGAACAATTAAACATGATCATTACTGCATGTTTAATTTATTAGGATTTGCAAAGAGATTTGAAACTCTGTGATTTAGACATAGTTAACTTCTGCAATGAGAATTGATTAGTTATATCTTTGCGATTCATGTTCAATACGGTTCTAATTCATTCCTGATTGCATGCATTCTACATTCTCGGATCCAACCTGCGAATTGACCTGACTTAGCGCTTTTAGTATTCTGAATCTTAGATCAATCAAATATCGCTTGCTTTCAATTTTAGCTATTTCGCATTACATTTATTATCTACTGCTTAGCCTAGTCCGAATCTATAATCGCTAGTGTAGTTTACATACTCCCTTGGGATTTGATAACCCCTTATACTACAACTGCTTTGCTGTGCACTTGCAGTAGTAAATTATTTGGGTAAAACCTGAGCCCTATCAATGATGGAAGGAGGGGGAAGGGGGAGGGGGAGGGGGGGGGGGGAGGGGGGAGGGGAGAGGTGGGAGGGGGTGGGAGGGGGGAGGGAGGGAAGGGAGGGAGGGGGAGAAGAAGGTTTATGATATATGTTCAAAATTGCTATGTTTTTCTTTCTATGCTTACATTGTTTGTTATGTCTCTATTTATTGTTTAATTTATTTTGTTGTAGCTATAGTTTTTAAGCCTAATTTAGTGATGTGTAATTTTAGTTATTTGAAAAAGGAATCAAAATATTTTAACAAAGGATAAAGAACAAGGATATTTGTGTGTGGACTAATAAATCATTTTGAGCGTTTAAGAGTCAACAACAGCACTTGAAGCTTGCGATTTATTCGCTTCGTTTATATTCCCTTCTTCAGAAGATCGAGTCCATGAATTATTGATGCAGGTTAGGGTAAATGTTTTAATAGATTTTATGGCCAGGTGATTGTTATTAGGGTTTCTAAATTCTAGAAAGAGTCAAAAGCGATTATTTTATTTCTAAAATATATGATGTTCTCTAGACTTGCCCCTTTAGGCTGTATGTGTTGAGTATTATGAGCACGCAAACGAAATAAATAGCGAAGATCTACTTTGAAAATAAGAACAAGAGAGAGAAGGAGAGAGTAAAAGAGCGAAAGATAGATGGAGAGAGAGAGAGAGAAAAGGAGAGAGAAATAGGTAGTAGAGAATTAAAACAAGAAAAAGAGGGAGAGAATAAATAATAAAGCTCAATGCTTAAAGCACTATTTCAGTTGATTGATCTTGAATAATATGTTAGGTTTTTTTTCTTTTGGAATTTTCTTAAATGATTAAGTGGATGGGTTGAAACTAAGATTTTTATTTGAAGAATATCAGAGAGAGAGAGAGAAGATCTACTTCGAAAACAACAACAAGATGGAGAGAAAGAGAGAGGGAGAAAGAGCGAAAGATAGATGGAGGACATAGAAAATGAGAGTGATAATAGAGAGAGGGAGAGAAAGGAGGGAGATGATGGAGAGAGAAATAGGTAGGGGAGAATTAAAGGGAGAGAAAGAGGGAGAGAGGAAATAATAAAGCTTGATGCTGGAAGAACTGTTTCAGTCGATTGATCTTAAATAATAAGTCATATTATTTTTCTTCTAGAGTCTTCTTGAGTATTTAACTGGGTCAGTTGAAACTAAGATTTGTATTTGGTGGGAGAGAGAGAGAGAGAGAGAGAGAGAGAGAGAGAGAGAGAGAGAGAGAGAGAGAGAAGGGAAAAGGTAGGGGTGGGGGGGGGAGGGGAGGGAGAGGGGGAGGTGGGAGCAGGGGGAGTGAGGGGAGAAGAAGGTTTATGATTTCTGTTCAGAATTGCAATGTTTTTCTTTCTATGATTATGTTGTTTGTTATATCTCTATTTATTTTGTTATGCCTATAGTTTTAAAGCATAATTTAATAATGTGTATTTTTGGCTCTTTGAAAAAGGAATCAAAACATTTAAAAATGAATAAAGAACAAGAATATTTTTGTATGGACTAATAAATCATTTCGAGCGTTTAAGAGTCAACAACAGCACTTGAAGCTTTTGATTTATTCACTTCGTTTAAATTCCCTCTTCAAAAGGTCGAGTACATGATTTACTGATGTAGTTTACGGTGAATTTTCTTAATAGATTTGATAGCCAGGTGATTGTTGTTGGGGTTTCTAAATTCTAGAAAGAGTCAAAGCGATTATTTTAGTTCTAAAATATATGATGTTCTCTAGCCTTGTCCCTTTAGGCTGTACGTGTTGTGTATTAAGAGCAAGCAAGCGAGATAAAGAGTGATCTACTTCGAAAATAAGAACAAGAGGGAGAAGGAGAGAGCAAAAGAGAGAGAGATAGAAGGACATAGAGAAAGAGAGGGAGAATGGAGAGAGAGAGAGAGAGAGAGAGAGAGAGAGAGGAGAGAGGAGGGAGAAAGAAATAGGTAGCGGAGAATTAAAAAGAGAGAAAGAGGGAGAAAGGAAATAATAAAGCTTGATGCTCAAAGCATTATTTCAGTCGATTGATTTTGAATAATACGATAAGTTGTTTTTCTTTTGGAGTCTTCTTTAATGATTAATCTGGTGGATTGAAACGAAGATTTTTATTTGAATGATCAAGTGGGTGGAGTCTTCTCTACTGTCCTAACATATTTATAGTGGTCATAAATTGGAATGTGTTGCTCATGGAAAATTGGCAATTGAGTTCAATGATATGTGGTATTATCATAGCAATAGATTAATGATTTGTGTTATGTGATTGACATGCCATTAGACGAAGAGGTCAGACTGATTTTTTAAAAACCTAATATGTTTAGTTTTTACGATATATGCAATAAATTTTTTTTGGGAATTCTAGTTAGATGGATCTCGTGTTTTCGATTGTCTTAAAATATCAAGATATCCAAGAGACTCATGAGTTGAGACATGCGATGTAAGTGCATAATTAAATGATTTTGTTTTAGTCTATTCTGTCTATTGTAAACTAATGATTATTTTTATATAGACTTGAGGATAGTGAAGGAGAGGATGATAAATATGATCACGATTTTTCTCTATAGCTCAGCAATTATACATGGATTTGTGCTGAAAATGCGTTTCCTGTACTGGATGCTCAGATTTATTAAATGTGTTGCTATTTCTTTCAGGATGTTACGTTAATTTCTGCGTTTTATTTTGTTACTTTGTTTAATTACAATTTCCGCATTGTACTTGTGTTTTTCTTAAAAAAACCTTTGAAATCTTGATTTGCTTTAAAATTGTTCTTTAGTTTGTTTTAGACTTCAAATATGGCTCAACTTCTTTCTGCTGCTATACATACTTTGTGTACTGCTTATATAGTTACTGATTATAATTTGAATAATCTTAAAATTTTGTGGGTTATCAAGATTAAAGTTCTCAGAAAGTTTATGCATTTAAATAGTGTTGATAATTGCTATTCGAATAGTATGTTTTTATAATTGTCTTTTTATTTACTGTATTTGAATTATCTTGATAAATAAAGTTATCTAACATTTGTATGCCAGCGGCATGCTATATAGTCGACTTATATGGTTATATTGATCTAAATATTTAGTATATATTTAAAATTCTAAATAACTACTTTATTATAAGACATTCTTGTTTTCAAACGGTTCATATAATAACAAACATAAACTACGTGTTTTGTATTATCTTTGGTCCATATTACTTTATAAGACTTCTTGGTTTGTATGTCCATGCTTAAAGTTTCCTTAAAGTTAATAGTGACTAAATTATCGTTACCAAAAGTTCATACTCGTGATATAATATATTAATATTATTTTTTATTTTAAAATTTTTAATAAGAAACTATAAATTTTGATAATAGTAAACTTCATTATTTGTATCAGAAACTAATGTTAAACTTCTCAAAAATGTTTATTTTATTATGATATTCCATTTTATAAACTTTGATAAATTATAGAAAATATATGGCAATATATTAGGATACTGATATATATGAATCAAATGACATAGATATTGTAATTTATAGTTATTATCTTATAAATATTTGAAATATTCATGAAATCCTAATTTATACGTGCTATAAATACACATCTTGCATTGTCTATTCTGCATGTATTCGGAAACCTAACTTTCATTGGTCTGACGGATTGGTTCTTTCTCTGTATTTTTCTTGATGTTACGTTACTCGCAGACATACGTTTTCTGACTATGATAATTGATTACTGATTATAATTTTAAATCTGGTACTTACAAACTTTTATTATTATCTAAACATAATTAAAATTAGTTTTTATTAAGAATTGTTGCCCGTAAGGACTTGCCACTCATTTCGATTAATTAAACTTCTCTTTGAATTTTTTTAGTAGACAAACTTAACGAATATTCGAACGCGGGCCACCACCTAGTTAACTCTTAAAATTAAACCACATTTCAACATTCCTCAACTTGAAACTCGAAAAAACTTGAGTTTGTTGATTTTGCAGGCTTTATTGGAGTCACATCATTCACTCACTGATGATGCGAGTCTTCTGAAAAACGATAGAGGGTTGGTTATCAAAAAAAGTTCTTACATGCAACCATGCCAGGAAAAATGCCAACGTACTTCACGCATCAAATCTTTGAATTTAGCTTTAAGAGTCACGTAGTAAAATCATCGTCAAAATAAAATCACATAGAAAATTTTATCGAATCTTCCATAAAAACTTTGATATTAAGGCTTACATGGAAAATAACATGTATATAAACAGATTGGGTAGGTACACGTTCACATTAGCGAGCGTCAATAACCGAGATAGTGATTTGGTTCACAGTGCATTCATTGTTGCGATGTGTACTTGACGATGAATCAGTCTCAAGAGGACTTCTCCCAACACAAAAGCCAGGCCGTTTAGGCTGAGGAATAGTCGTAGTTTCGCTTCCAAGCATCACCATTACAGACGACATCACTGGTCTGTCTTCAGCATGTTCTTGAACACACAAGAGACTAATTTGTATACATCTTAAGATTTCTTGTATCTGAAAGGTTGATGATGAAGAATCTATGATGAACGGATCTACGATCTCTAGCCCTTTTCCTTCCTTCCAATTCCTCCACACCTGTGAAAAATATTGAATCTTTCTTTTAGTCTTAGTGCCAGATCATGAAAGTGACACAATATCGAATTAAAGAGGTCTTGGCTTACAAAACTGAGGAGATTATGGTCACAGTTTGAGTTGTAGAATCCTTTATTCCTCTTGCCACTTATAATCTCAAGAAGCAAGACCCCAAAGCTGAAAACATCTGACTTCATCGAGAATATTCCATCCATTGCATATTCTGGAGACATGTAGCCGCTGCATACATAACAATAAACTCATATATGTTATGAGTTTTTTTTTAAATTTAGATTTAAGACAAAAGCTCTTTGTTGTTTGGAAGAAAGATTTCTTACTAAGTTCCAACCACCGTCCTCGTATTAGCTTCTGTCTCCTCCCGTCCAAAGATCCTCGCCATCCCGAAATCAGAGATCTTTGGAGTCATATTTATATCAAGCAAGACGTTACTCGCTTTCAAGTCCCTATGGATAATCCTACACCGTGAATCTTGGTGAAGGTACAGAAGTCCTCTAGCAATACCATTGATGATATCAAATCTCTTTGGCCAATTAAATTTAGAGCGTCGGGTACTGTCTACAAATAGACCACAAGCGGAAAAGTGTTAACTTATTCGCAAAGATGTTCAATTCCCAAATATGTTAAATTAACTAACCAAATAGATGATAATCAAGGCTTAGATTCTCCAAGTACTCATAGATCACCATCTTCTCTCCCTTATCGACGCAACAACCAAGAAGCCCGACAAGGTTTATGTGTTGAAGCCTTGCAATTAATCTAACCTCGTTCTTGAACTCATCGGTCCCTTGTAAAGACATTTTCGATAGTCTCTTTACAGCGATTTCTTTCCCATCGAGTAATCTTCCCTATTACCTCACATATGATCATACATCCATGAAGCCTTGTGTAGTGGTAGATTTTAAATAAGTTTTGAATCACTTTTACCTTGTAAACAATACCGAAGCCGCCTTGTCCAACCTTGTTGGCATCAGAAAAATTGTTTGTTGCAACGGCAACAACATCAAACTCCATCAATGGAAGCTCTAGATCCTCCGCTTTGTTTTCTCTGGTTATGTATCTCCTGTTTGATGTTACCACTTCGTTCATTAGCTGATCTTGTCTTCTCACTTGATCAACTGTTTCATTAAGATATAAGAAAGAATACCAAAAAAATGTAAAAAAAAAAAATATTATTTAGCAAATGACAGTTATTGATTTACTTTTCACAAAAATAAAATAAATAAATAAAGTTGTTGATTTACCAATAGGTGTTTGAATTGCTATTGATCGCCTGTGCTTTCTTTTCCAAAACCCGAAGATAATGCAACTCACAAGAAGCAAAATGCTCACTCCAATACTCGAACCTATGATTTTTCCATTTTTGGTTCTCTTGTCCACTGCAATAGAAATGCTCATATATAATTCTTCTACTTTGGTTGTAAAAAGGTAAAAAAAATCCTCCCAAAGTAAATTTGGTTGTACTTTTAATCAAAAAAATTGTTTAGGAGTTTTACATAGATACAACCGTTGTAGCATAATCAATATACATATAATTTCTATAAATTAACACTTTCATAAATTAATAAAGTTTTCTTATATTATTAATCTTTTGATAAATTAATATCTCACTAAATTAATAAAATATTATAATCCCACTATTATTAATTTATAAAAATTTTACTCTACAAAAACATTTAAAAGTTTGTTTGTATATTGATTATGTTACAATGGTCGTTTCTATTTATAAAGGATAAAGACCTAATTTGTTTACAAGGTCAATTTTGTATGTTAATATGCCTTAATATACCAAAAAAATATACAAAAATATAAATAAGACAATTATAAATATCACCAAATTTTGTTCCAAAAATATTATCATTAGTTTTTTCCCCAAGAGTACCACACAAAAAAAAAAAAAATTTCCAAAAGCATAACAAAAGTAAAACTAAATTTTAAACCTTCAATCCTAAACTCTCAAAAATAGATCATGAACCCAAAATTTAATTAACCTAACCCAAATATTCACATTATAAACTTTTAAAAATCATTTTTTAGTGTTTCTCATATTTTTAGAAAAATAAAACTAATAATGGCATTTTTGAAATAAAAACTTATTTTATTGGCATCGTAGGACATTTCAATATATAAACTATGATTGTCACAACTTAGAAGATATACAGACTTTGGCTCAAAACCTCTTGCTCAAGAAAAAAAATACTCTTATGCAAAAAGAACTAACCGAGATCAGCAGCGGCTAGTCTAACGTAGAGATCCTGACCTTCTTTTGCATAATTTCGGATATCCAAAAGCTCTCCGTTCCAAATCACACAACCCGACCCGCCCTTACTAATATTCATAGTAGCGAATGCCGTACACTTACAATCTTTTAGACACCGCTCTTTACATTCTTTCGACCCAATTCCTCTATCCACAATGGTCTCCGTAGTATCTGGCAATTTGATCTTCTTCAACCGCATAAACCCATCTCTGCCGTCACAGCTTAGCTTGGTTTTCCTCACGCAACCATCAGAATCATCTCTCAAATCCAATGCTTGCTCATTTCTTGGCTTAAACCCTTTGATACAATTACAATTTGGTGAAGTGGACGAATCGCAATAACTATAATTCCCACAATGTTTGTAGCTATTGCATAGGTCCTTTGGTGAGAACCATAACAGATTCCAACTCTGTGATTTCTCAATCCAAGTGAACCGTTGAAATAATCCCTCGGAGTTTAGGATTAATCTCGAGTATATGTTGGTTTTGGTGATTCGGTATGAGTAAGTCACTTCTTCATTACTCGCTGTTAAATTAAAAGCTAAGTAATCATTTAGTTTCATCTCCGGTATGCCACTAAACCGGATTCCATTCCACGGACCGCTTCGGTACATGATCGACTCTTTGTTGCATACGTAATATTCAGGGAACCCTCTGGTCTGGAGTTTTGTCGAGAAATCGCCGCTTGATGGATCATCTGGAGCTTTCCAGGATCTCAAGAGTCGGTTGAATCCGGTTTTGTGATCCCAACCCAATTTCATCTCGGGAAGTAAAGTATCTGTCGGAAAATCGAAACTCTGCCACAGAAATCCATCTGGATCGTTATTGTTGGAGTCTCTGAGTACGAAATTACCGTTATCAAGAAGCTCTGCAACCACTGGAGATCTCACATCCACTCCGGTTAGATTCGTTGACCAAACAGATCTATCGGATTGATCGGAAATGACAAGATTATTGTCGGAGATTTTGAGAATTCCGTTGGAATTAGAGAGAGGGTTGTCTCTGTTCGCAACCCATACGTAGGTTCTTGGAGAGAATTTCTTGTACCAAATCCCGAGATACCAACGAGAACTTGATGCGGGATTGAAGAAACCAAGCTCGAAGATTTCAGTAGGAGATATAATGGTTCTCTTGCTTGAGATAGTGAGAGATTCTGTAGCCGACAGAGTGTTGGCAGAGTTACAGAAAGCGGGAAACAGAATTAAAACGAAGAAGATGAATATGAAGATGAAAGTGTAAGAACGGTAGTAGTTTGGTACAGTTCTCATCTCTCTTTAGTCTCTACGGCACTGTTTTGTGCTGTTTTCCCTTTCTCGCAAACTTTTTCTGTACGTAGTAGGTATATATATTTATATATGTGTGAAATTTATCTTTTGAGATCAAATACATGTTCTACGTTAAATGTATGAACGTTATTTGCACGATTTATCTCCACATAATTTATCCATAATACTTCTTGGTCTTCTTGTTTGCATCTGAAATATTAAGTATCCATTGACTATAGAATAAGGTTGACCTACGAATTCAAAGGTCGTTTTTTCCTATTCTATACAAGTCTATAAAAAATTCACAATTATTTATCAGTGTGGTCCTTTCAGAAATATTTAATAAAATTTGAACGATACAAGAAAAATAGTAGAATGGTCTATGCGCAAAGATAACATGCACAAATCAAGAAATGGTCCAAGTTTTTGTTAAAGACATTTCTTGGTTTACCCTAAAATATTAGCTCTCGTCAATTCTTTGTTTCTGTCATGTACGACAGTTTTTTTTTTCAATCGTATTAAATAAAACAATTGGATTGAAACATTCAAAGTTCACAAAAGATAGAGACAAAACATAACACCAAACTTTTATAGATAAACGAATCTCATGTTCTATTATGAATGTACAAAGTTTTCTTATATACAGAATATTGTTAAAAGCTAGAGTAATTACATAATATTGAGACACTAATGAAAGACGTACGTAATCACAGGAATTGAGGTGTAATCATAAAGATTTAGATACTTCTTCCTTCATAATTTTAACATATTAAAGATAGAGAAAAACTTATACAAATCAACTATGGGTCCTCCTACATCACAGCAATAAAACCTCTTCCACGAACTAGGCTTTCTAAGTTTATTTTTTTATAGAAGAGTCATGCATGGACAAACCGGCACCACACTAGTACGAGCCTACGAGGATAGAACACCGTTGAACTTTCCTCATAAGATAACAAGATATTTTTCTTGGAGAATATATATATGTAGTATTTAGCCGTCAAAAAAAAAAAAAGTAGTAATATTGGAATAAGATTGGTTCTTTGAGCTAATCGTCGGTTAGTCTCTATCTCTATTAGAGAAACATTTGGATAATAGTTAAAACAAAGAATCCAACTTAAACGAATCCAGTACTTTAATATTAGGATTATAGTAAAGACAAAAATCCCTAACACGTTTTGACCAAAATAAGTTTCGACTATTATATCAGACAAGTAAAATCTCAACATTTCGTTGATTTGGTCGAATTAGTCCTTACTGTTAGTCAAACTTACAAGTAAAACTGATTCGAAAAAATCAACACCAAGCTACGTTTTACATTTTTGCCAAAATAAGTAAGTTATGAATTTTATTAACTTACTTATATACGCGATCTTATAATCTAAATTACAAAGTGTGATTTAATTTGTTTTGTAGAGTTTCGTGACCTGATCTCTCATAGTATGACAATCGATTTCTATGTGTTTAATCCTTTCATGAAAAAATGAGGTTAATAGCAATATGCATAGCATACTTGCTGTCACACAAGAGTTTGGCATTAGTTGTTATTGTGACCTTCAAATCCTTGAGTAGATGGTTCAGCCATAGAAGCTCACAAGTAGCGAGAGTCATAGGGTACTATGCCTCGGTGTTGCTCTGGCTTACAGTCTGCTGCTTCTTTGATTTTCAGTTGATTAAAAATGTTCCCAAATAAATGAAGAAACCAGTCACTGAATGTCAAAAAATCAGGATACGACGTCCAATCTACGTCTGTAAAAGCATTAAGACATATCTCTGAATCCAAATCATAGAACAAACTTTGACCAGGATTAGATTTGAGATCATGCAGAACACAACGAGTAGCTTGCAGATGCACAACCGTTGGACAAGTAAATAACTGGTTCTAGTTGTTAACTTCAAAGGTGATATACAGTCTGATAATGGTAAGATAGAGAAGACGCCCAATAAGTTTTCTACAGAATGTAGCATTGTCAAGTTTTGTGCATGTATCTTTGCTGAGTTTGATGGTGGGATCTATAAGACCAATACAAGGCTTATAAGTTATCATATCGAGCACATACTATCTTTGATAGACAGGGATTCCCGAAGCATTTCTTGCAATCTCAAGCCCAATAAGAATTCTGGAGTGCCCATGTGCGTAATCTGAAAAGCTGCATGAAGTGCATTCTTGAATGTTGTAGAACAGAAGCGTTGTTCGATGAAATCATAATGTCTTCCACATAGAAAAGGAGAGCAATGAATGATGATCCAAATATCTTTGCAAAGAGTGTATTGTCCCTTGGGGATTGAACAAAACCTGATGCAAAAACTACACGAGAGAAGCATTTATACCAGTAGTGGAAAGCTTGTTTCAAGCCATTAAAATACTTGTGTAACTAATACACTGGATTTAGAGGAAAAGGACCATTATGTGCATGTGTGTTCCGTTGAGGCAATCTCTTCATCTAATTCACCATGCAAAAAAGTATTGGTGACATCCATCTGTGTTAATCTCCAACCATGAGAGGAAGCCAAGCCAAGGATAAATTTGACACTAGCAAGTTTTGCAATAGGTGAAAAAGTATCGATGTATACTCGATTCCCTCTTGCCGAGTGTAAACTTTCACCACCAAGTGTTTGTAGTAGTCTATCGATCCATTTGGATTATATTTGATAGTGAAGACCCACTTACACCATAACACATGCTTACCAGGAGGTAATGATTCAATCGACCATGTGGGCTTCTCTTTGAGAGCAGTAATCTCCACATCCATCGCTTTGTTCCAAAATGGATTTTTCATGGCTTGGTAAAATGCATGTGGCTTTGTTTCAATCGTCTAAGAAAAGACAAAGAACTGATAGGGCGGATTAAGAGTATTAATTGTTATATTCTTATTGTTTAACTGTGTTGATTTCTCTATCTTTTTCTACATCTTCTTTTCATAAATCAACAAAGTGAAATCATCATTAATCTTTCTCCACTCTAAACTAAATGTTCCTTTGATTTTTTTATGGAATCTACCTCATTTTCAAGTACAATTAGTCCTTTATTTTATCTCCTTTCTTATAGCTCCTAATCTTGCTATTTTGATTGCAATGTACTGATTTTTTTCTCTTATTTCATGCAAGCTTCCATCTCATTCAGTTCTGTGATCGGTTATAACTCTAAATGAGGAAAATTTTAGTTAGAGTTGGCTAGACCGAGCAAAAGATCTGTTCAAATACTACATATGTTTGATGGGTTTTTATATCAAAAAATTATGCATAGTTGATAAATTGTTGATTTTAATTGATTTGAGGCGTTTTTTTTGCAATGATGAAGTACCTGACAATATTTGTGAATGTGTGAGAATATTTTTGTCTATTTTCATATCATGTGAATGTAAACAACATGACTATCTTAAAAAGTATAATCAATAATCTTTTTTTAGTTTATTTATATATATTAAATTAAAACTCATATATTATCCGGTTGATGAGTAATGTGATCGCATATCAATTTTATATTACCATCATTAAGAAAAATAGTTGATAAGTATTTGCCATTTTTTCCTCTTTCGTATAAATCAAATGCAAGACATTTAGAGCTCAAAAGTGCCTTTTTTTTCTTGTTATGTTATATAGGTTGTAAGGGAAGTTTCCTCGAAAGAGACTGACCTCTTTCGGGCAATCAACTCTTTCTTGTACCTGGCACTAGTCAAATTGTATCTCGGTTCATGGCATGCCACAACGACTCTATCGGCTTATAGTCATTCCTGGCACTCGGCGCATGTCTTTGATCAACCCCGGTTCCGTCACTCGTATCTGGTTGAACCAGTACTTCCTTTCCGCCGTTCCTAGGGACCACCCACTCCCGTTCCCATGAGTGATCCGAGACAGTACGCGGAGATTAATCGGTCTCTTTTGGTTCTCATTCCAAAAGTTGAGCAGCCTGTTAGCATAAAAATGGCAATTACCCTCCTTCTATTCGTTCTGGATACGGGCCTAGTCCTGAGTGCGCTGTTTGTCTTCTCGGCTGGCCCAGGATTGGGAGAACATAGGATTGGTAGTTGGGCTCTGCTCGCTTGGTTGGTCATTCCCTTCTGTCTTGGCTGATGGATAGGTGAGCGCATGCGGTTACTTCCGAACGAACCGGTCGATGGCAAGCTTTAGCTTAGCTGGCTAGCGGAACAGAAGATGGGTTAATGGGCTCTTAAGGCTTGGGATTCGATCCACTCGATAGGAAACGATCTTCAAAGAAGACACCTTTCCCGCTTCTGTGACTCAGCTTCATCGTACAAGGGACTTTTAGCTCATCATTCCACTTCGACTGGTAGGGGTTTTCTATTAGTGCACTTCGGTGGGAATAAGTCTTCCTCTTTTCTTTCGGAAGGAGAAAAAGATGCTTCATTTGGTTCCCTCGGATCGGTAAATCCGAATTCGTGACCCAAACTCTATCTAGTTTAGTTACATCAAAGGTGGCTGCCGAATAAAAGGGCAAACTTTGCCTGCCAGATTGCCTTCGGTAACCCTAACCCAGTTATCAAAAGAAGGCGCCAGTTCGGCTTTCAAGAGAGGGGAGCGAGCTACACATAGTGAAGCGAGTATTCAATGAACACGAAGGCTTTGATGAAAGGAAGATTTACATTTAAAGTAGGTAAAGTAGGGCGCTTAGGCTGGCTGAAAACAGATAAAGGAGACATGTGCTTGGACGAGTTCCTCCGAGGAATGCCTTAGATGGATGAATCCCGCTGGTAAATACGGGATAGGATCCACTCTGGCAGCTGAACTTCTTTGTCTATTTCTCTATAACCTCGTATATCTTTTGACTGCGCCCGAGAAAGAAAAGAGCAAGGGTAGGGCCCCGGGAGAAGCCACTGACTGCTACTTCCTCCGCTACAACTGGTGGTTATGGATGGAGAAAAAGAGGGGAGCTTTCGATTTTTAGGGTCTTTACAAGTATATATTCTTTGATTTCGTTTCCCACCCCCCCCCCCCCCCCGTAAGATCAATATCACAACTAATGAGGTCTTAAAGTTTCACATCTAA